CATCTTATTTATGCCTAGAGGGAAACATGTGCGTTACAATTCTCTCCCCTTAGTATGATTCCATCCTCGGAATCATGCATCAGCAAACAGATGTGGATAAAGAATTTTCATGTCATCCTCTGTCTCGCAGGTGAGGTTCGGCCCATTTGAATGTTTCTATCGCACTAGCACTAATTTGACCATCTTGCATCACAACTTCTTCGTCTATGGTTAACAATTGCTTCAGGATCTTCGATTAACATCTTGTCTTCACCAATCCTTATCTCCAAAAGTGGAATTATATCGGGAACTTATCATGTGAACTTCCTCAAATAACACACATGGAAAGTGTTATGAATACCATCCATTTGTTCTGGCAATTCCAACTTGTAAGCTTGGTTCCTAACTCTCTGAAGAACCTTGAATGGTCCAATAAATCTTGGACTCATCTTTCCTCTCTTTCCAAATCTTATAAGTCCCTTCCATGGAAAGACTTTAAGGAACACCAAATCTCCAACTTCGAAAGTCATTGGTCGTCGCTTTTTGTTAGCATAGCTCTTTTGATGACATTGAGCTGCTAACATCCTTTCTCTAATTACCTTTAGCTTTTTAGCAGTCCGATGGACTATTTCGGGACCCATAAACTGCATTTCTCTGGCCTCAATCCATCAAGACGGCGTACGATACTTTTGTCCGTACAAGGCTTTATAAGGTACCATCTTAATGCTCGAATGATAACTATTGTTGTAGAAAAACTCTACTAGGGGTAGATGCTTATCCCAGTTACCTTGGAATTCTAGGGTACATGCTCTCAACATATCTTCTAGTGTTTGAATTGTCCTTTCACTCTAACCTTCAGCCTGTGGATGGTAGGTTGTACTCAAACACAACTCGTACCCATTTCTTCTCGTAAACTCTTCCAAAACCTCAAAGTGAAATGACTGTCACGATCCGACATAATCGTTAAGGGAACACTGTGAACTCTTACTATCTCCTTCAAATAGAAATTTACAATCTTATCCATATACCATATCTTATTGGCCGATATGACATGTGCACTATTTGTTAATCAATCCACGGTTAGCAAAATCACGTCGTGACCTTTCTTCTTCCTAGAAAAATTGGTCACAAAATCCATGGTGATGTCTTCCCATTTACCCTTGAGTACCGGTAAAGGCTCCAAAATCTCATACGGGGTCTGATGTTGCGTTTTAACTCTTGTGCAGGTCACACACTCAGCCACATACTTAGCAACATTGAGCTTCATCGTTGACCACTAGTAGTAAGGTTTCAGATCCCTATACATCTTGGTTTTGCCTGGATGAATCGAGTACATGGTATTGTGAGCTTCTTCCATGAGAATACCTCTCATTCCTCCCATCTTAAGCTCCCGAATTCTGTTTTGGAATTTAACCCTTGACCGTTCGTATAGAATTCTAATGTTTTGACTAAAGGTTCTTCTTTTTGGTTATCTCAATCCAAATCCTCTTACTGAGATTTCTTAATACTCTCTAAAATTTTTGAGACAATGTTAATTCTCAATGCCTTTGGCTTCTTCCTTTCCAAGTTTATCTTTCTACTTAAAGCATATGCTACGACATTGGCTTTACCAAGGTGAAATAGTATCTCCCAGTCATAATCCTTTAGTATTTCTAGCCAGCATCGTTGTCTCATATTTAATTCCTTTTGATCAAAGAGACACCAGAGACTCTTATGATTAGTGTAAAGCTTACACTTTGTGCCATAAAGATAATGTCTCCATATCTTTAGTGCAAAAACTACTGTTAGCAACTTCAGATCACGAGTGAGGTAGTTTTTCTCATACTCATTTGGTTGTCAAGATGCATATGCTATTCTCTGGGTCAGAACACAACCTAACCCAACTCGAGATGCATCAGTATAAACTGCGAAGTCTTCAACTCCGTCAGTTCAAGAAAGAATCGGTGCTTCACACAACTTCTTATTTAATTTTTGGAAAGCTTCTTCATGCTTCTCACTCCATGTATTTGTAGCTCCTTTATAGGTCAAACTTGTTAATAGAGTAGCTATCAAAGAAAACTATTGGATAAACCTTCTGTAATATCTAGCTAATCCTAGGAAGCTTCAAATCTCGATGGGAATTTTTGGTCGTTCCCACTTCATCACAACTTTGATCTTTGCTGGATCAACCATTATTCCTTCTTGGGTAACTGCATGACCCAAGAATTGGACTTCCCGAATCCAAAAAATCACATTTGGAGAACTTTGCATACAACTTCTCATTTTTCAAAACATCTAACACTGCATGCAAGTGTTTGCTATGCTCTTGATGGCTCTTTGAGTATATGAGAATGTCATCTATGAAAACTATTATAGATTTGTCTAGGAAAGGTTTACAGATCATATTTATCAAATCCATAAATGTTGTTGGAGCATTGATTAGTCCGAACGACATAGCTAAAAAATCATAGTGTCTATATCTCGTTCTGAATGTAGTCTTCTCTATATCCTGCTCTCTCACCTTCAACTGATGATACCGTGACCTAAGATCGATCTTCGAGAAATAGCTCGCACCTTGTAGCTGATGGAACAGGTCTTTAATCCTTGGAAATGGTTACTTGTTCTTTATCTTTTCCTTCTTCAGCTCTCTATAAGCTATGTACATCCTCATGCTTCCATCCCTCTTCTTCACAAGTAACACCGGAGCTCCCCAGGGTGAAGAACTCGGTCTAATGAAACCTTTGTCCAATAACTCCTAAAGTTGCATCGTAAGTTCCTTCATCTTATTCAATGCGAATCGGTAAGGTGCTTTCACTATAGGTATGGTTCTTGGTAGCAAGTCTATCCTAAACTCTACTTGTCTATCAAGGGGAAAACCAGGATGATCTTCGGGAAAGATTTCTGGAAATTCGTACACCACAGGTATCCTTCACATCTCGTTCTTCTACTTCTTCGCATTGGTTACGAATGCCAACTATGATGTACACCCTTTGGACAAACAATTTTTGGCTTTCATCAGGGAGATGATTTTAGAATTTACTCTATGTTTTTGTAACGCCCTAAATCAGGTATGGCTTGAACACCTTCGAAGAATTCCAGTTTTGTCATAAATGGTCCTTTGGCGTACGTTGGGCGTACTTATGAGTACGCTTAGCATACTTTGCATGAATGATCGTGAGGGCATTTCGCGTACGCGGGGCGTACGTAAGGGTATGTCGGGCGTACGCAAGTGAAGGCCAAAACCCTAAATCCGGACTTGAATCCCTATTTAAAATTCTTTTGGCCTCTTGGACCAAACCCTATCAGCCTCTTTAGCCCCATTTCGTCTACTTTCAGCTGAGATAGAGTGTGAGTGAGATTTTGAGCTTAAGAAGAGGGTTTTGGTGAGCATTTTTGAGTTCCTTCAAGAAGGGGAGTTGCTACGCAAGCTTGGATTGGTTTGGTGCTTCAAGAATTTGTATTGTGGTCATCTTGTAAGACTTCTAGAGGTAAAAAGCTTTCATCTTTCCATCTAAATCCTTAGATCTAGCTAGGGTTTTCTATTTTACCCTCTTTTGGGTGGTTTTGGACCTCTTTTGGTGAGTTAAGCAACTCCATGAGGTGGGAATGTTAGATCTGAGGTCCCTTAGTCATTTAGAAGCATAAAAATGGGATCTTGATGGATGTATTGGTCTCATGCATAGATTAAGGACCTTGGAAAGGTCTTAATGGAAGTGTTGGGTGTTTATGAGACATGCAAGGGCATAACGTTGGCAACTTTATGCCTTAAGATGTTTAAACAAGTTTGTATCTGACTTTTGGACGTGATGGAATCGGGCATTAAGCACTTAATGGAGAAAGTGCTGAAACTGATTGTACGTTGGGCGTAACCAGTTGTACGTGGCGCATAGTCCCTAAAGCCTTAGTACGTTACGCGTACCAAGGTGGTACGCTGGGCGTACGCAACACAGTTGGGACCTAAATTGTTTGGGCCTTTGAGCCTTTGGGATTCATTTGGTGTTTGGGCTTGATTGGATTCTGTGAGTTAGGGGCTTTTTCATCTGTTATGGGCTATGGATTCAATGGTTAGGCTTTTTGGTCCAAAAGACCCATTAAGGATATTAGACTTGGACTTTGGGGGCCTATTAGCAAGGATAGGGTATTTGGGTCTTGAGTGAGGGTCTGGAGGTTGGTTTGTTCCCTTGGTTAATCTAAAGTCATAATATTGATTATGTTATTATTATTATGATTCAGCTCGGGAGCTTACGGATGGTTAGGAGAACAGTATTTGTATTCAGCAGTCTGAGGTGAGTCTATTTATTGGTAGAAATCAAGAGAGAGCGAGTTGCAGATGAGTGTGGGGAAGAGTGAACACAAATCATCTATTTATTGGTAGAAATACGGGCTTGCGCACCGCACACATGGTTGATGTGGATCCTTAGGTGTACTGACACGTGTCCAAAAAGGGTAGGGTCGCATGGCTGACTTTGGGAACAAGTTGTGCGCGTCGCACATGCGCGCATACTGATTTTCTGTTTTTCAAAGTTGCATAACTTCTTAATACAAGCTCTGTTTTTGACGTTCTTTATATCCACAGAAAGCTCTCGACGAGATCTATAACTTTCATTTAGACAACATCGACTACCTTTGAATTTATTTATTTTACACAAGCTTAGATTGTTAAAGCCTGTATAAAATGCATAACCCTCTCATTCGACATCCGTTTTAAATTGTCTTTATATTGCTGAAATCTTATTAACAAGATCTTCAATTCTCTTTTAGATTTTTCGGCTAAAAATCGATCGATCTAAAATTCAATTTCTAAGCTATATACTACTATGCTAAAAAATTGTAACTTCCTCTAATGAAGTCGGATTTAGACATTCTCTATATGCATGCTTTCGGTTCAACAAATAATTTTAAGTATCAATATAAAGCCATCATTTTTTTTAATTTCTTAAATTTAATTTTTGTTCATAATGACAAGGATCTTCTCAAATGTCATGCTGTCATGATTATAAGGTATATGATATTATGATCCAATAACAACGATCTAAAAACAATCAAAGTTTGATCGGAATGGCCATGAGTGGTACTTTTCTTGGTAATGTGAGCCCAAACTTCTCCTCCATATCCATATCTTGTGCTCTTATATTTCCTTCAAGTTTCCACTCAAACTTATGAATCAAAGATCCTAACATTATATGCAACATTCTATGAGCAATATTCAATCCCGGACATATTCGCCTGCCTGCACCAAATGGAATAAACTCATAATCTTGGCCTTTATAATCAAGCTTGACTTCTAAAAATCTTTCAGGCATGAACCTTTTTGGGTTTGGCCAAATGTTACGGTCACGCCCCATAGCCTAAACATTACAAATGATTTGTGCATTTTTAGGCACGATGAAACCTTGAACTGCTACATCATGTATGGCTTGATGAGGAATAAGAAAAGGGACAGGTGGATGTAGTCGCAAAGTTTCTTTTATAATAGCTTATACGTATGGAAGCTGAGATATATGCATTTCTTGTATATTCCCTTTGTTGTTTTGCATGAGTTTTATGATCTCTGATCGAGCAGTTTCCATTTTCTCTGGGTTATGGATAAGCTCGGCCATTGCCCACTCAAATGTGCCGGATGTTGTATCAGTTCCCGCGATAAATAAAGCCTACAATAATTAATGAAGTTTTTAACATAATTATTTATCAAAAACCAAACCAATCCAAATAGTTTGGTCCGAGTATGATTCGGCATATGAAACTTATACACTATATTATAAAATGATTGACTTACATAGAAGAAATGTCTCATGTCATCTCGACTAAAGATTGATTCATCTTTCTGGACAAGGTTGAGCAACAAGTCCAAAACATCAATGTTTGTTAACATTGATTTCGATCTTAATTGCAAGCGTTGATTAATGATTCTATCGAAAATAGTCAACAACTTTTTACCATAAACATTTCCTTTCCGTACTAATCCTTGTGGATCGAAAGGTTTTAATATTGGAAAAAAGTCGGCTAGATTCGGCTTCCCAGCTAATTCCACCAAAGCCATCACGACTTCCTTAAACTCTTGTGATGAAATAGTATCGTATTGAGCAAAATCAACAGAGAATATAAATTTTGAAAGAACGTTAAGAGTTGTTGTGAAGGCACTTGCACCTATATTCACAGCCTTTTCATTTGTACAACATCTCTCGACATGGTTAATAAGTTCTTGTACCTAGATGTATAAAGATAAAAATATAGTTAAATAGAGCTTTTTAATAGATAAATGTTAGTTTTTAGTGAACTGGGTGTAGATTGTATATTTATTTGAGTTTTTTAATAACTAAATATGAGTTTTCTTCGAATTAATTTAGTATATATAAAAAAAATCTCCAGAAAAATCTTTAAGCTTTCAACCTATTAACGAAAAAGTCATCCCTAATTGTTTATTTACAATTAGGCCTAGAAAACTGGCATTAACCGGGTACAGTGGTTATTTTGCAAACGTTATCGGTATTTTGGGTTTAATCGTAAAAAAATTTGGGATGACTTTTGCGTTAATAGAGCCAAACTCTAGGAACTTTTCTGGAGATTTCTTTTTTCTAAAATAAAGATAAACTGCAATTGAGTTTTTTGAATATGATTTGCCCATTATCATTTCAGATGCCTACTTTATATCTGAATTCATTGAATAATCAAGTGGTATCTAACTATATATAGGGCGTGTTCGGCAAAACTAGCTGTTAGCAGGTAGCTTGTAGCAGATAGCGGGTAGCTTGTAACTTGTAGCGTTTTGTTAAACGCTACATGCAGTAGCTTTTGGATTTGGAACGTTTTAATTAAACTAAATGCTAGAAGCTTGTGGTGTCAAACGATACTTTTTATTTTAAATGGAACGTTTTGTCAAACGCTAGAAGATAGAAGCTCCAAAATGCTCCAAAACGCTCCGTACCAAACACGCCAATAATTTTGTATAGAATCTCAATCTCGCAGCGTGAGAGGTGCATATCTTCCTACAAAAATTAAATATTTTTATTTTTCTTCCTACATATCTTCCTATCAATATGAAATAATAACAAATATTTTAAAATATAATATTTATTAATATTTTATATGTGTAGAAAAATAAATAGAAAGAAAAGATAGGAAGATATTTCTAATCCAATTATCCAACTTGTAAATGAACCAACACCAACGCGTTAAAACAGGCCCAAATTTTTATGGGAGCTGATCTGTACACAACAAATTTTCTCCATACACAACAATTGATGCTTTAAAATGTTGTATTGTACAACTATATAATGCATTAATTGTTGTGTATGGCAAAAAACTGTTGTGTACGAATCACTTCCCAATTTTTATTCGCTTGTCCATATCTTGGTCTGATTCAGAGTTATTACTCGTTGTGCAATTTATAAATAAAAACCGATTCGAGTACAACTTAAGAAAAAACGGTCAAGACTCAAGGCCCGGTCTAGTTATTAGTATTATTAATACTTACTTTTTGGAGTTAAAATAAATAGAAAGCAAAGATAAGAAGATATTTCTAATCCAATTATCCATGGGTCTGTATTGAGACAATATTTGCTTTGCTTTGAATTAATACATACGGTATTAAATTATATATAATCAAATATAAATGTAAACGGAAGCTCGAATTTTCGAATATGACTCATACCTTCTCCCCACGTAGGAGTTGGCTATCATCTAGACGTTGTACGGAGAACAAATATTCTCTACCTATTCTTCGTAGTACACGCCACTGAGCTCCGGTCGGCAACCATGCTATGGAGTATTTATCATGGTCAACTATCCGGGCGGTGTCGGGAACCGTTCTACCAGAGAAGGATATATCATGTGTGTGAAAGAACTCTTTGGCAACATCAGGTGATGAAACAACTATCGTTGTTCTACTTCCAAGCTTAAGTGACATCAAAGGACCATAACGTTTTGAGAGTGTAGCCAGAGATTGATGGGGTTTGTCACTGAGTTTTAACAGGTTTCCGATGACCGGAAAAGGGTAAGGCCCTGGGGGAAGCCGGGAGTTGTGGCGGCCGGAGATGGTGGTCAGGCCGTAGATGATTGTTAGAAGGGAAGAAACTATGAGAAAGAAGGTTGGATAATCCATAGGTTTATGTGGGTGTGTTGTTGTAATCGCACTCCATATATGCATTTTTGCGGGGTGTCATGACATGTTTAACAACCTAATTTAGTAGTTCACATGATTTGTCTTAAAAATACATTTGGCACGACATCATTTCAGAATTATTTATTTACTTTTGGATATGTTTGTGTACTTCGAAATATGTATAAATAGTATATACATGGTTTATGATTTGCAAAGAGAAATTTAGTGGCAAAATTCTTTTAAATGTAAAGATAGTTACATCTTCAAATGATAAACTACAAAGGATTTGATTATAGATCAATTCATTTTACTTTTGATTATATATATTTCGATTCTGGATTTTGGATGTGATATTTGGTGTGTTTCGATCCATAATGCTTCTATTTTCTTATGATTCTAAGCCTAAGGTGGCGGACCTCTTTGACTCCATTGTTATGCAATCTTTTCTTTTGGTTTCGAATAGGAGTAGATCATGTAGATGTCTCAAATTGGTTTGGACTAACTGGATGAAGAGCCCTACTTTCTTTGCAACTGTGACGTTTCCTTCTGTTGTTTGTCCTCAATAGTGTCTTGCTACTAGGATCAGCTGGGCGTGAATAAGAATCCGATAGATAAAAAAAAAAGGTATACTAAAATTTATTAAAAGTTTATATAATATCTCAATAATAAAATAATGTGCATGACACATTGGCAGCTACCCATTAATAGTTTATACAGGTAATAGGCTTATTAATATAATTAAATTTTCGGTTTTTTCCACATTTAATTTTTTGTTACATACACAGGTAACAAATTTTTTTGAAGTGTTTACATATAATCATTATGACCGATTGGATCAGGTACATCCGATCATAATAATTATATGTAAACACTTTTAAAAAGTTCATTACCTAGATGTGTACAAAAAAATAGTTATCCAAATGTGAACCGACCGAAAAGTTAAGAGGAAATACACGAATGCTCCTTGTGGTTTGATGTAATTTACGCATTTGTTCTATAACTTATTTTTTTAACTCGGATGGTCTTTATTGTTTATTTTTTTGCGTTTGGTCTATTTTTACCTAAAAAAACTATTTTGTCATTATTAATTTATTTTTTTTAATTAATTTTCTTATTTATGCATTTATTTTTTATATATTTAAAAATAACAATAGACCCCATATATATGTATCTCTTCACCTTAAATCTGAAACCACATTTAAGAAATTTAATCTAAGTCCCACCAATCACCATCTCATTTCTCATCATTATCAACTTTTATTTTCTTTTCATCTTTAGTGACATCAACGTCTTCACCATCCATTTTTTTTCGGTCCTTCAACTTTGGCGAACCAACACCATAACCCACTATCTCTTTATCGCATTTTCCACCACCACAACCAAATGCATCACAATCCTTGCATGAAAAGAAAAATGATACCAGAAACAAAAATTCGAGAACTAGATCAACTGAAAACCATAACTTAAAATGCAAATCAAAACCTGAAACTCTATTAACAACATTCTAAGCTTTAACTCATCAAACTATGTTTTATATATATATATATATATATATATATATATATATATATATATATATTATTCGTATCCATTTCTGATACTTTTAATCTCTACTAAATTTAAATTTTTATATTTAATATTTTAAACAATAAAATTCTATAAAACAATGATGCGTTTTTTTCCATATCAAATTTAGGGGTTTAAAAAAATAGAGTATTTTAAAAAGATATTTACCAAAATTATGTGGTTTTATAAATATTTACCATTTAGGCTAAATTTTATACCAAAATAAAGTTAGAAAGTAAAATAAAAAAGAAAAGAAATTGACTTATGATGGTAATTAACTTTTCGGTTTATTCATATCTGAGAAACTTATTTTCTTTTTTATACACATCTAAGTAGCGAATTTTTTAGAAGTGTTCATATATAACTATTATGACCGGATGTAGCCTACTATAACCGGTCATAATAGTCATATGTGAATAATTCCAAAACGTTTTTTGTCTATATATGTACAAAAAAAAAATATATATATATATAGTTACCATAAACAAATCCAAAATTTAATTACTTAATAACTCTATTTCCCACACTAAAAAAGTCGAGATAAATCTTTATACGCAAACATACAAGCATTTGTTGACTATGATAGTTGCTAGTTAGTACGTACTCCTAACTATACGTGATGACAAACATACTATTTAATATAAGCCTAAGATAGTATACGTATTTTTCAAGTTCATAAATATAACATCGATATTCTCCAAACTCATAAATACACCTAACGTATAGTAATATTTTAAATATTATTGGACTTTTAACGGAAAACCATCCCTAAAATATATCTTGCAACATGTGATAATATAATTGCATAAATTAAGTAAAAGAAATATTATTAAATAAGATATTTTATTTATGATATTTTACATTTTTTGAACGTGTTTGGCAAAAATAGCTAGTAGCTGGAAGTGGGTAACGAGTAGCAGGTAGCTGGTAGCGGGAAATTGTAACTTTTATTTGTTATATCAGTATTTGACAAAAGTGGCTAGAAACTTTTGCAATATATAAAATTACATAAAAGGATATATATATATATATATATATATATATATATATATATATATATATATATATATATATATATATATATATATATTAAGGGTAATTATGAAAATTTATTTCAAAAGCTCGGTAGCGTTTTGTTAAAGCTACATGAAGTAACTTTTAGATTTGGAGTGTTTGTTTAACCTAAAAGCTAAACACTTGTACTACCAAACGCATTGTCAAAAGCTAAAAGCTAGAAGCTCCCAAACGTTTTGAACTAGAACGTTTTGTCAAAAGCTAAAAGCTAGAAGCTCCCAAACGCTTCTAAAAGCTTCGTGCCAAACACGCCCTTTATAAGATTATGATCATATATAAAGCATGAAATTAGGGATGTCAATGGGAGCAAACGGGACGGAGAGTGCATCCCCCGCCCTTGCCCCCGAAATTTCCCCATTCCCCCGTCCCCGCCCTCGCTTCCAAAATTTTCAGTCTTCCTACCCCCGCCCCCGCCCCCGAATCCCCTTTATTACCCCCGCCCCTGCCCCCGATAGATTTTGGGTTTCCTTTTTTTTGCTAAAAGAAGTTGTTATTTAGGTTAAAATAAACTATTTTTTAAGTAACAAATAATTATTTATAGCAAAATTTTATATGTTAAAAATAAAAAAGTTATGACATCTTAAAAATATTATACTAACAACTTAAAAACATGTTTTTGATGGATTTTAGAAGCTCGAAATCATGCTATTGTTTATTATATTTATATAATTAATATATGTGAATATATATGTAATTTATTAACGGGGTCCCCATGAGGGTTTCGAGATGGGATTGCCTACCCCGTCCCCGCCCCCAAAATTAAAACGGGGGTTAACATTGCCCCTACCCCCGTCCCCACCCCCGATATTTTTTAAAAATTTCCCCCAAACGGAACAGGACCCCCACGGAAATGGGGTTCCACGAGACTTTTTGACATCTCTACATGAAATATCCCACTATGATAAAATACTTATAAGTTTATATAAAACCACTACAACGCAAAACACTACTTATGATAGACTAAATTCATCGTTAATATGTAGCAACATATTCACTTCTTACCCGAATTGTAAAACCTTAATTTTAAAGACATTTGTGGCGGATTATTGACTAAAACAAACTGGTGGGTGGTAATTCATCACTCATGCCTGATCTGTAACGCCTGTGTTTCTGGGCCTGTCATTAATGATGATATAATAGTCTAGGTTAACCTTTGTAACCCGTTTTGAAATAATAGAAGTGTATTATTCGAGTATTATGTGTTTTGTGCTTAATTGCTTAATTATGTGGTTTGATTAATTAAGAATAAAAATAAGCGTCAAAATTTAAGTATAAAATAAACTTGATATCTTTAGATAATGTTGTAGTAGTTGAAACAAGTTTTCCGAAGATATAAAGAATGCCGAAATCCGAGTTATAACGAAAAAGTTATGACCTGTCGAAGTTTCGCGACAAAACCGGCACCGCTGAATGACGTAAAAAGTGAAATTTACATTAGAGCGATATTTAGCCTTAGTGATCTAAACGAGAATCGAAGATCTCGTTGTTAGTATCAAAGCGATAAAAAGTTAGGCGAGAACGGACGTCAAACGAAGAAGTTATGAATTTATAACGAAATTTTCTGTCCCGGCCTATTAAAAATAAATAATAAAAATAAACTCAAAATTAGCCGACGGAGTCTAAACGAAAGTTGTAGAGCGTAGTCTCACCTTTGCGTGGATATAAAGAACGTCAAAAACGGAGTTCGTATGAGGAATATATGAATTTTCTAAGTTTATTAAATAATTAATAATTAAATTTAATTATTAAGTCTCGGTATTATCCGGAGGCGAGTCACCGGACTCATCCGAGGTACGCCCCGCGTACAACGAAGAATGTCGACACTTGCACTCGAGGACTTTGGTACATAAGCAATGACGATTTCGGAGGCTTATGCCCCGCGTAAGGCAGTACGCCCCGCGTACTGCGAGGCCTCAGCCTCCTATAAATAGGATGCGAGGGGTTCGGGCTTAATTGCTCATTTCTCCTCCATTTCGTGCCGAAGCTCTGCATTTTAACCCCCAAAGCCACCCCGAAGCCCCGGTAATATTCCCGAGTCCCGAGGCAAGTCCCGAGATCCCGAAGATCCCGAGAAGTGCGGTTTCCGAGCCGAAGCTCTGCCCGCGAGAAGTTTGATTTTTGTAGAGATCTTCCAGATCCGCTGAGGATTAATACTTCTACAAGCCGTAGTGCTGTCCGATCATCTTCTGATCAAGTGAGTGTATAGTTAATTTCTTCTAACGCATAATTATGAAGTATTTTATACGAAATATGTGTTATGTGTATAATTTTGTTGTTATGTGCGTGAATGTATATTCACTCTCTTCAATCTCGATCATAGATCTGATTTGTTTTGTATGAAATACGTGTTATGTGGGTATGCCTCATCTGTTATGTGAAATATGTATTGGATGAAAATGCTATATAGGTTTTAAACTATGTATATAAATATATATTTTTATCTACTAATATGTTGGGTAGAACATGGGTAGATAGTTGGTGTGTAATAAACATATGATAGGCCTCG